CCCACAGAGAGACCCATTCACCCCCCAACAAAGGATCACCACATTAAACCCAATCTAATGAGAAATCCCTCACCAGATGGGATTTAATCTGATTAATATTGAAAAATCACCTTTGGCCGGATCTTCTGATTCATGTGTTAGGTAAGGTGAAGAAAGATGGTTACATTTTACATTATTTAATAAAAAAAAACTTTTTACTTTCAATTAAAAAGGTCAAAATGTTTATATTTTTAAACCTTTTTGTTTAACTTAATAAAATGATAGTTGTTCTTTCTCTCTGTACAGTAACAAGCTCTATCTAATTATTTATTGCAGCCATATTAAAAGAATTTATCCCATTTATTGTACTTTTAAAGATTAGAAACTGGAACTTCATTTTAAAAAAGGTAAAAATGATGAATAAAGGATGCAATCATAAGATTTTTTTTTTTACTATTCTGTTTTTGATGGATGACTTAAAATCTACATCTATTTATCTTTGTAAAACAGTTTTTTTTTTTTTCATAATGGGTGGAGCTTCTTTAGGTGTTTTTTTTAATCACCATGACTGTGCATTTTTTAATCAGGAGCAGCAATATTTCTTTACACCAGTATATCCTTTTTAGACATGGGTGAAAACCATGTCTCCGTCCATCTGATCGGAAGCTTGCAGCAACAAGTGGGGGAGGGGCAATGCTGCTTCACAATTAAGAGTCAACTAAGGTCACTCTGGCAAATGTTAAAAAGACAGTTTGATGTTGCAACTTTTAAACAATTGCCTTGTGAAAGCCCGAGAACTTAACCAGAAGCTGATTGGTGGAATATAAATGAATTAATTTGGACATTAAGTTACTTTAAAAAAATAAATCTAGCTCAGAAATACATATTTTGAAGGGAAAAGTTTTCCTTATTTTTAAAGATTTAAACAGCCTTTTGTCATTTTCTTAAATTTTTTTAAGTATGATTATTTTCTTTAATATGAATTAATGAAATTCAGCTGTTGGAGCAGACATAAAGAAGCATAGTTTATATCTAGACATCAGGAATGCTGCCTTAAAAACAAAACAAAACATATATATATATATATATATATATATATATATATATATATATATATATATCAAAATGAAGAGATATATTCATGAGCATATACATCTGAATTTCCTGGAGAGCATAATCAATTAATACGCAATCAAAATATAGGAATAACAAAAAATGTGAATTGAACAAAAAAATCAAAAGAACATTTTTTTGGTTTATATACCTTTTTTTCTGAAATAAAATTATATTTTAAGCTTAAAAGATTAACAAACTGAACGAATCATTAAATGATAGTTGATAGTTAATTGAACTGATAGCATCCCAAGCAGAAAGCCTGCACTATGCAGGGATATTGCATCATCTCACCGTCCTTCAGAGCCCCTTCCCACAGAGCCAATGCCCACAAACCACGTCTCTTCCATCCTCCCCAGTCTTAGTTCTCTGTATCCCTCCGCTTTCACTCACCTGGAGGATTAAAGGCAGCCAGAAACAGTTCTGGAGGAGAATAAAAAATTTGCTTCAGGACGAGATGTGAGCTCAGGACCCCAAGCAGCGGAATGAGGAGCTTCCGGGAGGTACAGCGGTTTAGGAACGGATTGCGCACGTGTGAAAAACGGAGAGGACGCGAGTAAAGCCGCGATCTGATTGGCTGCCGCGTGGGCGTCTGTTTGGACGGCGCCGACCAATCAGCGAGGAGATTTCTCCGATACGGGGTTTGGGAAAAACAGGGTGGCTTTTTTTCCCGCAACACCTGTTTACCTTTCACTTACCAAACACGCATCGTTTGTACGTGGTTGAGTGTGACATCTTGATGGCTTCTCACGAGCTTTACCTTTGCTATCAGAATGTTGAGTTGACAAAAATAAAAAGATGATGTAAATTTGGATTTACTTTACAGGTTTTGTCCTTCTCCACAGTTAAGGATATAATACGGAAGAGGATAAGGGCCATTGAATAAAAAAAAAGACTTAACTGATTTTTACATTTTATTTCAGTATAGTATAAAAAAAAAAGTCAGAATTCTGACTTTAATTTCAGAATTCAGACTGAATGCTGCCAGCTAACAAACATGTTAGCATCAAGCTGCAGTCATTTCTGTTTTAGAAAATAACCTAGCTCTCTTGTTTTAATCACCTCCTGCCCTTCTATTAATGAAATAGCATCACCGGGGACCACTTTGGCACGTAAAAAGTTGCCTAATTCATCTTTCTCAGTGAAGCTGAGTGCTCCCACATCTCTTCCTTCGTGGTGCCCATCTACATTAAGATCCAAAATTTGTAGATAAAGTCAGAAATGCGAGAAAAAAAGTCAGAATTCTGAGAAAAAAATTAAGAATAGAGATATTGAAATCAGAATTATGAGGAAAAATGTCGGAATTCTGGTCAATTCTGATTGAAGACGGTGTTCAATGATTGCGCTTCCCATATGGTCTAGCGGTTAGGATTCCTGGTTTTCACCCAGGCGGCCCGGGTTCGACTCCCGGTATGGGAACGTTTGTTCTTTTACCCAGATGCGTCACAGGAAATCATTCCTGCCTGTGGTCGTCAATCTCTACCAGGGGCGGATTTAGGAAATTTGGGGCCCTAGGCAAAGACAGGGAGGGGGCCCTTCTGAAATAAGAAGACAAAACATAAAACAGACCCATTCTGCAGATAGAGAAATGTTAATAGAATAGACATCCATTATCTGTTCTAGGTTTTGTCCCTCTCTCCTTGCCCCTTTTTCCTCTCTATTTATCAGCGTTCTGATGGCATTTTAGCCAAAGGATTTTTATCAAAAACATAATTATTGTGCACAAAAAAGGAATAGTTGTATTAACCATACATGTAAACACAGTTTTATGGGGCCCCCTGGAACTTGGGGCCCTAGGCAACTGCCTAGTTTTGCATAATGGTAAATCCCCCCCATATCTCTACAACACCTCCCTCAAGTGATTCAGACACCCCGCCTCAGTAATTGACATTAAAGAGAAGTTAAAAGGTTGTCCAGCATCCCAGGTAAGACATTTATGTCACATGACAGTTGGTAGTCCCTATTAAGGTGCTTTTTGTCTGGCTTGTTTTTATTTATTTTTTTTTTATCACAAATTCATTCTGTGATCTTTAAACTCCTGAATAACTTTTAAAACAATCTATTTTCCTTGATGGTCAGGTTGTGTACACTTGTGGCTGACATTGGTACTGCTTTTAATTAAATAAACAGGTAATATTGTGGGGAGGTTTTAACCAAAACTATAAAATATGACCCTTTCCAAAACCTACCAGGTCTGTAATTAAAGGTTTGTTCTTCACTGAACTATTTTAGCTGAATATTTCCTTTAGCTCCATTTCAAAAGCAAATATTTATTTTTGGGCAGGCTTTGGTCCTGTAACACCCTGCTCTCTGTTAACGGCAAAATTTCAACAATAGATAGAAGACAGGAGCCTAATAGTGAAGAAAAAGGATCCAGAGGGAATGAAGGGAAAGGATGTGGGACACACAGGCAGGTAAGCAAAGAAAATGCAATAAAAAAAATGGAGAAGACCTGAGCTCAGGAGGTATACTTTTTTATGCAAGCAAAAATCAAGTTTTATAAATGGAAATGTGTAACATTAAATTATAAAAATGGAATCCGGAAATTAAAATTTGAAATACATATTCTTTTAAAAATGGCTTTTGGATGTTAACTTCACAATTTTCTTAAATGATTTCCAATTATTTTTTTTTTTCAAAATGTATTTGTCAATTTTTTAAAATGATTTTAGATTAAATATTTTCAAAAGCGTTCTTAATAATTTTGGTTTCTTTAGATTAAGTTACAAATTGCTTTTCACAGATCACATCCTCTTCACTTTAGACCCGTTACAGATGCTCCATCTTGATGCACACATTGACCAATATATTACTACAATGCACTAACATTCATCGTTCTGCACATTTTTGTTTAAGTTTTTTTTTCCTCTTTGCACTGATATATCTTAACATTTATTTGAGCTACAATGTCATCCTCATCAAAATGACAAAGTTTATCCAAGTCTAACAATGTTGTTGCTAACGTCAGCGTTGAACAAAAGGAACGAGTCTCATTTCAGACGAAAAGCCTTTCCCCAGAAGTGAAGCAAATGTGATCTACAAAAAGCTTTTTAAAAAAGAATGAAATTCCTACAAATTAATCTGAATATTCTTTTTTTTTTTTTTTTTTTAAAAAGAAAGAAATTAGAAAAGATATATTTTGAAAAAAAATTTTTTTTTGGACAAAATTAGCTGCTTTTTCAATTTCCCCACAAACCGTGTTCTTTGCTTGCAATAAAATGGAGCAAAATTTACTCCATAGAGACACTAGGAACAAGAGATAGGACATGAGGAAGGTAAGGAGGAAAGGCACAGAAATGAAGAAGAAAATAAATCACAGAAGGAAACAGTTAAATAAAGAAATATGAAAGACATGGAGGTGAGAGGAAGGAAAGGAAAAAACATCAATAAGAGAAGGAAGCGAATGCATGATGGAGAAAGACGGAAAAATTTATAGAATTCAGACAAAATACACTGGGAATAAATTATAAAAATGTTTTCCCCTGCTCTATTTGTTTCTACTGTCCACACCTGAAAAGCTGCTTAAACCAGCTGTGCTTGTTGATATTCTGTGACAGACTAACATGAAGCAGTCCCCAAGCTCTCATTATGACTTAACCCACAATAATATTTATTTTTCTAGTTATGGTTAGCCTCGCTAGTGATCAGAACATTTAAAGAGCAAGTGGTGTCCTGATTTTTAGTGGCAGGACATTTGATTTAATTCCAGCATCTATATCCTGGATTACAGCAGATCACACACAGATTATTTCATTTGATCTGGTTTGAATGACTTCTAAGAACAAAGACTCAGTTTCAGATGTGAAACAGGAATCTGCAGCATTACCTTTATACGGGACATTATGCATAAAAAATGGCGTCACTTTTTCAGACTTCATGTATAAAGAAAAAAGGTCCATGTCATCATATTCTGGCGGTGCAGTTACAAATCTGTTTTATTGAGAAAGCGACACAAGCTTGTCTTTTTAAAAAAAGCGAATAAAAGAAAATAACAATTTCAACAATTTACCAAAAGAAAAAAGGGAAAAAAAAGAAAACAACATCATCACTGCTGAGGGTAGGAAGGAGGGATTCAATGCATCAGTGCCGGCTTCTTTCAGAACCTCCCAGAACGCTCCCGGTCCCTCGACTTCCGCTTCTCGCGGTCCCGTCGTCGATCCTTGGAGCGGGAGCGTCGTTCTCGGGAGCGGGAACGAGAGCGGTGCCTGTTGGAAAACAAACAGCTCATTTAGAACCTTTAAACACTCTCCCTACAACATTTCTCTCCCCTGAGGGTTCATTACTTTTTCCTGCGGCGGCCATAGAGCTCCCTACGAAGTTCCCGTGATATGGGTTTCAGATGCATGAAGTTGCAGAAGCCTCCTCTGGTGCATTCCCTGTGGGAAAGTCAGGGACATGAAAGGGTTTAAATTCCTGGTCTGGTTTCAGATGGAGCTCTACCATAAAACGCTCCCTCCTAGTTACACATGCCAACAGAAAAAGCCTCAAGTTTTATCTCCTGCAGCGATTTGCAGACAAACAAGCCAGAATCAAACGGAAAAACACCGAAGGACACAAAGCTTATCTTGGTTCTGAATAAAATGTGATCATTTACACAAACGCACTGCAGCTGGGACAGTTTTAACTTTATGACTCTTTGCATGCTCTCAGAGTTGAACGGATCGTCTTCTGCCTTGTCAGATCTCTATATACTCTGGTAAAGTCATGCAAGGTTTCAGTGCTTCTCAGATTTAAAAGCAGCAACGCAGGCCAACAAGTAATTCAACCTCAGATAAGCAGAAAACAGTGAAGCTTTGTCAAAGCCTGAACCAACACAGAAACCCCTTTTTTCTACACATACCAGATCGCCTACTTTCCCCACAAAAATTATATCAGGAAAAAAATCGGGATGAAGACAAATGAGTTTATAGAAGAGAAGATATGGGATAAAATGGTATTTTGGCAATTTGTCTGGTCAGGATTGAGGTTATATTCATTAATAAAACAGCAGGTTTTTCTTTAAGATGTTTGAAAAGGTGAAAAATACTATAAGAGTTTTTTCTCCTTTCGTTTCCATTTTTGCTCATGGAAAAAAAGGAATATGTTTGCTTTGTTTCTCTTATATCCTCATAGTTTTGTATTTAGTAAAAAAAAAAACAGGAAACAAATAAAAAAGTGGGTTCTGTAGCTTGCTGATTAATATCCTCACAGTGTCTAATCAAAGCTGGTAATAAACACTTGTTCCTGCATGCTGACAGAGGTAAGTACATGTCGATTCATAGAGGCTTGTTCCAGGGTAAAGGCTATCAGAGCATTAAAGATTTATGGCCTTAGAAATGAAAACAAAGAGCAGATTTATAATGAGTAACAACATTGTTCTCCAAGGTCCGGTCCAGACAGTGAAGGCCAAACGCTACAAGCAGTGGTCCAAAAACTATTTAACCCTTTCCACAGCCCTGTGCAACTATCTGGCTCATTTTGTTCATAGATTTCATCTAAAACAACTGAACGCTGCAACTAATGATTATTTTGCTAATCAATTCATCTATTGATTATTTTTTTGATTAATACTCGGACTGTTTCTTAAAGAAGATTTTTTTTTTTTTACTGAATTAAACCAAGTGAAGCTAAAACTTTTCCAACGGAGGAGTTCTGGATAGAGAATATTAGACAAAATGTATTATTTTTTTAATCTTAAATGCAAAATGTTTACATATGTTTTTAAAACTTCTTTCGTTGTGTTTTAGACTCTCTAAACTCCAATCCAGTTAATAGTTTCAGCCCTAATTAGAGCCACTGGAACTGTTGGAATTATTTCAGTGCTGCGTTCAACAAAGCCGATACATGTGGGGTTCCTCAAGGCTTTATTCTGGGCCCACTTTGAAGAAATGCAGAAAAGACCGATTTTAATCAACTGCAGTATAAATTTTAATAAGTAAGTAAATAAGTATGTAACCTTTGACTTTATTAGCCCCCCGATTATCTTAGAAAAGGAAACATAGTGTTTCTAATAAAAACAGAACATTTAACAGGTATTAATAGTTTCATTCTCAGTAGATTATTTTGTAAAGATGCATTTCTCCTCTATAAAAAATAAACACACAAAAACACCCAGCCTAGTGTCGTTTAACCACTTAGTCTGCATTTGATTATAGTCTGCCTTTATTTATAATAAGACTATAATTTACACCAAATCTAGTAATATCTAACTATTCAAAATGGGCACTGGTCAATATCAGGTGATTTTATTCTGTTATGCTTTTTTATGAAGCCTTTCAGTCCCGTTTGCAAAACTCGTGAGACATCCACAGAACATACCATCTAAGTTCATTGTTTACCCCTAAAAAAGGATTTTATTTTGAGGGAACAGCTGAATATATCCTCAAATTATCTTTGGCTAAAGGAATATTCTAAACCGCCAAGAGGCATATTTACCAATTTAAAAGAGACCTAAAGCACAAGCTAATTACTTTTATGATCATTTTATGATGCAGTATAAACCAAACATAAGCACAGAAAGTAATTTGGTTTTTAAATTTATACGAAAACAAACTTGAAGTAATGGAAAAGAACACTGGGTAACAGAAGGGAACACCAGGTAAACAGAAACAAGCGCAGGTAGTAATTTTTGAAAGCGTATGTGTGTTTTTTCTGGTTTGCCCTCATTAGCTCAGATTTCTGATTAACTTCCACACAGCGAGCTGCGACTTCCTCAAAGGTAGGATAACACTGAAAACTTAAAAATGATTCCACAGAGAGTCTTTGCACTCTGCATAGAAAAACCTATTGACCTGGATTTTGTGAACCTCGACCACTAAACAAAGTGGGGAGAGCAGCATTTGTGTTCAAGGCTCTTCAGCCTTTTTAAATCCTGATGGGAAACATCATCAGTAAAAGTTCTACCTTTGAAGTCATTATTGTCTTTTCATCTAAGAAGATGCTAAAATGTCCCTGTATGTCTAATAATGGTGGATTTTTTGTCTTTTAACTTTTCACCTCATTCCTTTATTTCCTAAAATAACCAATAATGTCTAAACTAATTAACTTACCTTGCCTCCATAAATACCATGCTGATATGCATTGCAGGGTAAGTAAATTACATCTATCCTATTACATTAGTCATATTTTAGTTTTTGCAGCTCGCACAGATAGCAAGCTGGGTTATGGCACAGAAACCCTGTTAGGTTATTAGAATTGCTTTATTATCTTATTTCCCCCCCCTTATCTTTGTAGATAAGCTAAATGGAAACTTCAGTAAAATAAAAATTTACATTTTAATGATTTATAGAACAGCTGTGGCGCATAGGGAAACACACCATACACAAAATTAGCTGATGAGCTCAAACTTCTGCAAGAATTTCATTTTCCCCCCTTTTTTCCAGTTTAAATTCAGTCATTTTAAAAGAATTCATTTTATTGCTTTAATAATAGCGTGATACCAGGATTGTTTTTATGCTCAAGGTTATCTAACGACCAGATTTTCATAGCGGCCTATACTCATCTGTGACATATGTTAAAAGGGATCAGTTATAAGTTAAAAATGAAATAAATCCTAACCGCACTGCAAAAACTGAAATATAAAAAGTGGATTTTCTGTGAATTTTAGCAGATAAGATAATGTTAACAGAGAAATATTTTCTTTTAAATAACAATAACAAATCTCGGTTGTCCTATTTTAAGTGCAAAACATCTAATCATGCCATTTAAGGGCAAATATACTCTTTCCATTGAGAGATTATGTAAATTAGCAGCTCAAATTGAGGGTAAATACAGATTTAAGGTCTTTTTTTGCAGTGCAAACTGATGTGGGTTTTTTTTTTCTAATAAAAAAAAAATGTGTGAGTTGTATGATGATTTTTGTGGACTCACCCCATCTCATACTGGCGGCAGCAGGCTTCTCTGAAGTCAGTAACTGGAGAGAGTTCTGCGTGGATGGGCTGAGCGTTGAACCAGCGGTTATTCAGGTCCATGACGGCTTTCTCTGCATCCTCCTCACGACGAAACTACACACCATAGAGATGGAAGGAAAAGTCAAACCCATTAAAAACAAAACAAAAAACCCTCAAAGCTAAACTTTTCCTGATAAATCAGAGAATGTATCTGGCTGACAGAAAGATTTCATTATTAGGTCACTAAATATTTCTCAGTTGTGTGTAAAGTACCGATAAATGAAGCACCCTTAACTTTTTCCTCTAATTATTCTGACTTTTGCCATTAAGAGATCCGTTTGGTTGTCCTACCTGACCTAAAGCAGGAAACATTAGCATATAATAAATAACCGTAGCACAATTTATCTGTATGTTTGCATTTAGCTGTATTTCACTCACCTTCACATAGACATTTCCAACCAGATGATCACCTAGGTTATCACAGACATTCATCTCCTCCACCTCTCCATATTTCTCCTCCATCTCCGTGAACACCTCCTACACAGAAAAAAACAACCAACATTTAGCTCATATTTTAATACAACAAAGTATTGCTTATCAAAAATCAGACAACAATCTGGCAATATTCATATATATCTGAAAATCAAACAAAAAGTCTTAAAGCTTAGAGTCACCATATACCAAAAATTTCCATTACTAGGAAAATAAAACGTATTGCACAATTCTGGCTCCAGAACCCATTAAATTAACCACCAATCACCAAAAAGGAGACGTTTTGGCTGCTCTTTTTTGCATTCTTTTAATGCTGCAACACCGTACATAAGGCAGATAACAGGGTCAGTGACGTCACACGGTGCAACATCTGAGTCAGCAGAGAGAAACGAGCACCAACGGTCGCTCACCTCAAAGAACTCGTCGTAATGTTCCTGCATTTCCACATCGCTCACCGCACCTGCAGAACGTCAACAACAGACAGTAAAGGACGAGCTGGATGGACAGAACTGTTAGGAGTCTTCAAATGGTAAACATACTGCGCCTTGAACAAGCAATCAGACCCCCTGGACCTTTTTTCCCCACTTTTCAATACAACCACAATCACATAAATGCATCCCAAACCTCTGAGACTAAAGTTTGTGGTTGCAATGATCAATCAACGGTTTAAAAGCTCAGGGGGTGTGAATACTTTTCAAAAACACTGTAGGAATGTTCACATACTTTAATGAATCTAACTCTCTCAGAAGCAGAGTCAAAACAACGTTTATCCCTCCCATTTTCAGCTTGTTTGTGGTGCTTAGCTTTAAAATGACTTTAGCCAAACTCTGACCCTTTTTTTTTTCCTTTTAGCTGAACTATTTGCACAACTGTGTCATGACAAAGACACACTGACCAAATTTGTAAGTTGGCTCTAATGAATGACAAACAGGCCCAGAGGACATGCAAAACAGCATGAGGCCAGTGTGGCTAACTCTAACTGTAGTTTTTTTTTTCTCAGTACGCTGTAGCAGTTTAGTTTGGGGAGGTATAATAAAATGAATTGAGTGCAGTCGGTGCTGGAGGGTCCTGTGGATAAAGATAGAACTTACAGTGTAAACCATCAGCGGACTGGGCAGTTTTGAAGGTTATGAAGGTAAATGTTCAAGAGGGAAATGGTCTGAAATACAAAACATAAGCTTCTGTGATAAAAATCCAACCAAATACGAAGCTGGGGAGGGAAAAGAATGTTATTAGGTATGTTTTGCTAAAACTGCTTCGAGTGACGGCTAAGTGGTTCAGACATTAAGCTGTATCTAAAAGGACGATCTTGTTTTGTTTTTTTTCCTTAAGTTGATACTTTAGTCGTCTTAAATCTGCCTTGATTATCTTAACATTTTAAACATAAAAATACAGGTAAAGAACCAGAAGGAAAAGCCTAACTGGGATGTTTTTAAGTAATAAATGAAATAAACCTTGAAGCATGGAGGCAGAAGTGTCATCATCTGTGGATGCTTTGCTACACAGGGACCTGGCCTGCCGTCCCTCATAGATCTAACTATTAATTTGACATTTTATATTTTTTAGGAAACTTTGTACTGTCTGTATACATAAGTGAAATGTAAAACAGAGACGGAGAATTTTCACTTTGCCAAAATATATAAATAAAAGTCCAGATCTTGATCTCATAGAGCTGCTTCATGGTGACTTAAAGGATGAGATATTAACCTGTCACAGCTAATAGTTGGAGACGTGCAAACTAAATGGCTAAAAAATGTGTCTCCTTGAAGTTATTTAACCTCTGGTCTTCTTTAGCTTATTGATGGATCTATACCTTCGATGTATGAGAACGACTGGCACTTTTCTGAGTTAAACTCACGATAAAGATGAAATGGAAAACCACTTTTTTCAATTTGAGCGTTGATATTAAGCCCTTATTGGGGTCCAATAACATTAGCATTGAGCTATCCATTTACTAGTGCGTTCTTCAGCACTGTTTATCTTCTAATGTTTGCGACAGGTTAAAGAAGGGTCTTATAACAATAACGAATGCAGCATAGGCAGGAAAAATGTTTAATGACTAGAAAAATACAAAATGCCTAGCCCTGGTGGAGCTAGCGAATCCCTACCCTGTACGGTTTTGGGGCGTGAAGGATACATTTGCATTAAAAAGACGGGAAAACAATGAGGCGTCTTGAAGGGTCTTAACAATGGGGCCAAAAGGGGATATGATGAGGTATAATAATAAGGATTTAAGGCAAAAAAAAAGAAGCATTTCCTCCTCTTTTACGACTCAATTGAGTGCCTAAAAAATAAATAGGAGGGAATTGAACGTATAACGTATCCTTTAAGCTTTAAACACATTTTTAAATGCTATTGTTGACTATTTCTACTCACCTTAATGTTGATTTTTGCATTTTTTGGTAGATTTTTCATTTAAATATTAAAAATTAACACACCTACCTGTATGAGGCCTGACACCTCTTAACTAAGCTCCTCATGTTTACTACAGACAGCCCCACCTCCTGCTTCTAAGTACACTAATCAGCACTACCTGGAAGTGCTGTTTGCTTTTATATCATATCGCTGTGAGTCACGCAAAGTTTTCCTGCCAGATACATGTCTAATTTAGCTGAATGAGGACTGAGCTTTTGGTTAGGGGCTAAAGCCAGCTAACAGGAATAAGGAAGAACCTCAGAAGAATTGAGGAAAAACCTGTTTGGCTTACAGCGAGAGGCGTCTGCAGTCTGAGCGCTGTTCTGAGGGTTGCGGTAGATGTTCTGGATCAAGATGGTCTGCAAGAAAATAAAAAATAAATAAATATCTGGTGAAACTGGTTAAATAATCGTGTTTTAAAATTAAACAACCTTTAAATCTGGATGGATAAAATACCCCACCCCCCAAAAAAAGATATGAACTTCACTAGAACTCAAGTCAAATAGAGCCATAACCCGAGAGACCACACATCTGGTATGTTTGGAAGTGATCGTCTGAGCCAAAAGGTTGATAATGTTTTCATTACAGCCCAGAACTTTTTTGAATGAATAATATTTAGGGTGTTATAAAATAATTTGTAGGGTTATAAAACTCACCTGGCTGAAGGTTGGTTTGTTGTGCAATCTTGAGCAACGGTCTCCATGTCTGCAGGCTCCGATTTTGAAATAAAAGGAACAATTTACCCTGAAAGAGAGTTTAACCCCATCAAGAAAGACTTTACTAAAGTATTAAGCTGTAATATACAGAAATATAGTCATTGCTCATGTAAACAAATCTGTTAAGGTCTGCTATGTTCCCATCCAATCCTGTTTGATCTTTTATTTTGGTCCCAACAACAATCAAGGGATTCAAGTTAAAAGCATTTGCTAATATTGTGTCATTATCTAAATGTAACAGCTCTGATAGCACTGCAATGAGGAAGTGGAGCATTTATGATCCCTTTCTATATTTAATATGATTAACAGGTTACATTTAAACATCACAACCAAGAGTAAAGGAATGGATCAATTAAAAAAGAACACTGAAAATGTATAAAGCAGAATAAAAAACTATAAGTGTAAGGTAAGAAGTAAATTAACAAAATTCTTTACAGTTAAAAGTGGAATTTCATACATACACCAAAAAAAGAGAAGCTTTGCCCCAATCTGAGCTTTATTGTTTCCAGAAGCTTTTAAAGCTTTAAAACCAATTCGGTTTTAAAGTTATGAACCTTACACAATTTTGTAAGCAAGCTTAAAACTTCAAGGCTAACATCTTGAGATGTAAAACTCACTGTTATCTACTGCAGCTAAAGACCTACAACATGATACCGCCGCCCTGATACTTATTGTTAGGTCTTCCTCTGCCTTGCTAATCAGCTTCACCTTCACACCCAAACATGTTAATCTCTGGAACATAAAACATCTTCCTTCCATTCCCTCTGCACATGTATATTTGGTTTATCGTAGCCTAAATTTTTTGCTGCAAGGAAAACTTTCAGCCGGGATCTGAAAGTAATCCATGGCTGTCAGTGTGATACATTAGACTGTAAAAACGATGTGCAAATAAGTTAAAAACTGTTAACTTAAGTTTAGTTTCCCTGAATTTGAGTTTGCAAATAAGATGGCTTGCCAATGGAATTTGTATTTTTACTCTTAAAATAAGATAATTGAATAATATTTACTACAAATAAGATAATGAACTAATTTTTTCTTATTTTAAATGTAAATTGTCTTGTTCCATTTGTAAAATGTCTCGCTTACCTCCTCAATTCATGGGGAAAAAAAATCACCTATTTTAAATAGTTTAAGTTTAAACTATTTACACTATTTTAAATATAAAAATGGCTCATTTATATTTTCATTTCTTGTAGTGTACAAAACATAATCTGATAAAAAAAAAAATACAAGCAATATGAAAACATTTTTAGATAATTAATTGAACAAAGAAACTTTATCTGTCTCCTTTCTCTACTCTTCCCTCTTGTCAGTATCTAACTTAGGCTCGGCACATAATTTACTGTCTAATGTGTGCTATACATTTGTAGCTAAAAGGTGAGCGGCATATAAAACTTGTTTAGTGAGTGTTATGTGCTAAAGTTTGTTCCTATTATTCATGAATGAAGGAATAATATTTTAGATTTCAGTTGATAAGAACCACCCACCTCCATCATTAATAAATACTCCATGACAAAAAAAATAAAATTTATCATAACTAAACTACATTTTAGACACATTCACATAATACTTTAATATATTATATAGAAAATAGTAAAAAAACCAAAACAAAATAAAAACATAACGACGTATAACTTGAAATGAATTATACTTATAGTTGCAAACAAATAAAAACACCATAAAGAAGGTTATATATAATTGCCTGCAACTGACATTTGTGTTTTGAAAGACAAGACACTGCCTTCTTTCCCCACTGTTATATAAATACCTAGACATGCTAAGTGGCTAAACAGTGTCTCTAAACATGGACGACTTTGAATGAACTGTGACCATGAACCACAATAAATATTTTTCAACTCAATAAATGAAAAGAACAGAATGAATGAAAGAAGTAAAGGCAGCATTTAATATTTACTGTTCCTTTTTGGAAAACCAGAACAACACAGCCATCTAGCAAGCTAGCTACCTAGCTAATTAGCCTAGCTAGCTAAGGAATAACCCGGGTTTTAGACTAACATTGCAAAGGGCTTAATTTAGGGATCGATATACAATGAAAGCGGGTGGAAAAAAATATAAAATCGTATTAGTTCTATAAGAATTTGCCAAAACTAATAGCCTACATTAGCTTAACTTTGAAACTTCATGAGTTTCATTCAATGCGGTAGCTGCCTGTTAGCTTCCCCTGGCTAACTATACCTCCTACAGGAGTTTTAGAAAGAATGCAGAGTCTAATTAAGCTCCAAGTGATAAATACCAATGCTACTTCAAACAAACTTTACATTAAAGTTGCATTGAAACTGTCGACATATACAAATATCAAATAAAACGTACTTGTCTTTTTCTGTACCGAAGATGGATGCCAGATACTCCGCCATTTTCGCCCCGTCCGAGACGTTTTCTTCTTCTTCGTTCTTGTTTTGCTGGCGGGTGACGTCTAACTTTAAGATGTATTATCGCCACCTGCTGTTCTGGAGTGTGGACTAGAGTATCTCCCTTTAATGAAAAAGATTTTAAATAATCCGGTTTCCTTTAAAAATATATATATAACTGGTTAGTTATTTTATGTTTAACTAATATTTTGTTAAGTTTTAATGTCTGTATATCACATTTCTTAATTTCTTGTTTTAGCTTCTCTCTACTTACTGTATATTTTCACAATTAATTATTACATGTTTTACTGTTTCCATATCCCTACCACACTCAGAGCTACCGATTGGATATTTACCTATAAAATGTAAATTTTTATTTAAACCAGCATGTCTTGTCACTACTCGTTTTAAAAATTATCTGTTCTTTTCAATCTTCTAAAAGCTCGATATCTTTTCCTTATTGCTTCACTGCACTCTTGTGTCCACCAAGGTACCGCTTTCTTTTTGTTCTTACCTTTCCTTATAGGAAATGTTGTTTTTGCTGCTTTCAATATAACTTCCCTAACCTTTCCCTCTTTACTTTTTATATCTCGATTTACATTGAATTAATCTATGTATTTCTCACATGTATATTTAAATATATTCCATTTTGTCTTACCAAATATCCATCTTTCCTCCCTTCAACCACCGTCTTCTCTTTAAAAATAAGGATTTAATACTCATTTGATAACACTCATTATCAAAAAGATATTTTATATTAATAATATACTTTATAAATATATAATATTTAAAAAAAAATATTTGTATAATATATTAATATAAAACTTTGTTTTTATCATATTAATATTTATTTGCAAAATATATACATTTGCATATATCTCATCCAGTTTGACTTTAGTTTAAACAGTTTTTAATCTGAATAAATATATGTAATATAACTGAAAGTTAATTTTAGAATTCGTTTTGTTCTTTTAAGGGGTTGTGACATGTAAGAGATTATTGTAATATTATCTCTGACACAGCTTCCATGTGATTAAAATGAGATCTAAGGTGCCTTCTATTCATTCTGACAGGAGCTGTCTGAACAGTGGTCCGATCCAAAATGGCCGCCCTCTAGGCACGTCGGCCATTGTCTATGACGAAAACATGGCCAGCTGCTCTGATATACACACGGTGGCGCTGTTTTTTTAAGCACAGTAAAAAGGAACCTCCAAAAAAAAAAAAAAAAAAAAAAAAAAAAAAAAAATTAAATATGCGAATATTTCGTTTTGTTTGTAATTTTTCAATATTCTCACTTTTTTTCCTCCCACCTCAAAAAAAATAAATAAAATAAAATAAAAATGGCCTTAATTCAAAAGTAAATGCATATTATATTTATATAATATTTGGAGTATATTTCATAAGCGAAATTAAGAAAAGTTGAAAAGTGATGCAAATCAACCCAATAGTAACAAAATAAAACAAACAAATAAACAAAAATACAAAAAACAATTTAAGACAGAAATGTATTTGGAGGTACAGGTGGGCCAGTCTTACCTACAAATATTTTTTTTTTTGGGAAAATATAAAAAAAAAAAAATACAGTTATTTTATTATTAAAAATATAAACATAAATAAACATGTTTAATATTTTGCTATTGATAATACACACCCAAACTAAAATATTTCTTTAAAATCTTAATCACTGATTGAAAGAGAAAAAAAGTGTTCTTGTGGTGATGGCGTTGATGCAATAAAAACCACAAACAAATAGAACACATTGGGCATTAAAGCCATTAAGAGGCCGCAGGGTCCTCAGCTGCTCAACAGAGGCCTCACATATCTTCCACTGAAACCACAGGTGCTCTGCAGGAGGTCGCAGAGCTCTGCAGGAGAGGCACATGGTGAAGATTAAAGAAGAGGAGAATGAGAGGAAGTCAGCTTGAAGATTGCAAACCACAGAGACTGTCAAGAAGTGATGAAGGCGGTGTTAAGGTGCACAGACTGAAAGCAGCCTCGGAAGTGACAGAAAGATTGTGAGAACGATGTGGATTTGGGTTCAGAAAATGATGTTTATTGAAGCTGGATAATGAGGGGAAGCCCTGCTCTGAGACGCCTCACTGAGTTGGACAATTTGCAGAAGCGAGACCTCCCACCGACTGCTCCTCACCTCAAAAACTATTGTCTCTTATGTTTAAAGGGAAACAGGTACTGTATGTTTCTAGGAGTAGAGACAGCGAAAGGAGGAAGCAGCTCTAACTGCTTTGTTTAAGAAAATAATGTTTTCGGAGGATTACTCCTCAGCAGAGCCATCTGTGACTGAACTGTAAAGGAAGAGATCATGAGGACTGATCAGCTCTGGACTGCACTGAGTCTGTCCATCTGGGCCATCCTCTTCCTCACCTCAAAGGCTGACAGTAAGTGAAAATGTCTTCTTTATGTGACATTTCTTTCACCACTTTCATAGCTTTTTCTTTTAAAGAACAAGCAGTTGATTTATATGAAGACAAATCCACAGGCGAAAGCAGATCATCGCTGGAAGTCAGATAAAGATGGTTTTAAAGGAACAATAGATAACATACTGCCTGGGCATTTTTACAGATATGTCAGTTCTCTTTAATAAGCAGTATTTTTTTTTTTTTATTATTGTTGAAAACATCACTTTGGTTACCATTTATTTACAAAATAAAGACAATCATCAATGTGAGATGCATGGAAACTATCAGGGTTTAAAACCACATGAGAGAAACATCTATATTGAGCAAAAAAGAACAGATTTATTAAAATTTCCTTTTGTTGTTTTTTTTTGTGTTTTAGCGATAAACCAAATAGAAAAAATAATAAAAATAATCGTTTAAAATGTATCCTACGTATTACAGTAAAATGTCATCCAATGAAAGTAAACACGTATCCAGAAAACATAATATAATCATGCACAGTGGCTACATTATATTACCATGAAGTCTAAAAAGCAGGCCGACCATTTATGCTGCCAAACTGATATAATGCTCAGATAAGAGGGTTTAGTCTAAAACACCTGAAACAAAATTAATGCTTTATATGAAAATTAGTGGTTTGATTGAAAGCATGTTATGCTTTATGTTCGTAATCTTTAAATTTAGCATCATTTATGAAAAAAACTGAAACTGGGCTTGAATTGATTTCTTTCTGACTGTGAAAGACACGATTTGAAAAATTGTCTGTTACATTAAAAGCAATCGTTAGTTTTAACACTTATGTTATCCATTTATATTTTCCCACTTTCAGCATATAGACTTTGAATATTTTATAAAAACTTGTAGAGATACATTTTTCCACAAGCTTTGCATTTTTTTTTAAAACCAGAATTCCATATATTGGTTTTTATAAATGTCTGTTTGAGGGTATTTTGCTATAGGACAAACATATATTGTATAGGAAAGATATGGTGTTTTTTTCTATTTTAATGTAATAGTAATGAAAGTCGTTTTCCATCTTGAGTTCTGAATTCATTTTAAATAGATTGTCTGTATGTTCTATATATTGAAAAGTAGTATAGATAGAAGATATAATGATGTATAATGTTCAACTTTCTTAAAATGAGTGAAAATATACTACTGTCCAATCGACCGTGGTCAAACTTTGGGTGTCTAAAGTTTTCCTGTGAAATGACAGCAGGGACAATTTACTTTACCTCGAGAAAAAGTCCTACTCAAAGTGTTAATAATTCAGTAAAAGACACATCCAGGTGTGTAATCTCTTATGTCTTGTTTTCTCCTGCTGCAGATGTGGACTGTACAACAGAACTACTAGTGCGGAGAAACACAAACCATGAAGTGGTTTCTGGACAGAAACTCAGGATTGACTGTCCAGTTGAATTCTGCAACAATCCACCACCAAGAGTCAACTGGTATAAAATAGAGGGTGAACGTGAACGTCTCATCGTCAACAGCAGCAATCGCATCAGAATAGGATGGGAGGAGATCAAGCCTCTGGAAGGAGTTTTATTCCTTATTTTTCAAAAGATCCTCAAAAATAACTCTGGAGGATATGGATGTGAAAGTGAAGGCAGTGTTAGTCATATCATCAATATCACAGTTATTGGTGAGTGGTTTTACAGTTTTCTAATGTCTAATCACACCACAAGTAATATTAGATCAAAGCAGCCTTACATTAACATGCATCTGTGCTTCTGTATCTGGTTATGATGATAAATCTGTTGTGTTTTACAGAGGAAACTGAGGTCATTAACAAGACAAACAAAGCAATAAACAACGACACAAGTAAGGAGAGTTCATAATTGAATCCTTCTAATTTACCTGCCTATTAGAGTTTCGCAATTCTTTACCTTCAGTTACTACTGTGTATATTATACTTAAACCTTTTTTCATAAATTGACGAGAAAAAATATTTTTAATAAAGGCTCCAATATTAAATTTAAATTAATTCAGCTGTACAACACTTTCTGAAAGATTTAGCGTTACACATTTTTTTTCTGATTCCTCTTTTGGCCTTTGAGATGTAGACAATACGAGATATTATGCACCATAAATCAAACCAAATTTACAGAAACGTTATTGCTATTGCTCAACATTGCTTTCCAGGGTTGTAAGTTGTTGAACTGGCTATAAATCATTTGCCTGATCAGTATAAAGCAATATATAGTTTGTATTGGTAATTTTAAGTTTGGCTTTTGATTTGAAAATGAAAAATTATTTTGTAAAAGGAAAAGGGATGAATATATCAGCATTTGTATTGATAGTTAAAGGACACAAAAAAATCGTTTTTTTTTTGTAAGCTGAATTTATAATTTCATTTATTTATTTTTATTATGTTCTATTTGATCCCACAGATGAAGATCCCCAAAATGAACCAAAAGATATTTTCTGGATGTACGTGTACTCCGCTGCTGGCATTGGTGCATTTGTCATCATAGTAATTATTATTTCCATTATATGCATGCATGGATGTAAAAGTGAGTTTTTTATTTTCTTTAAACCTTTTATAATCTTTTACTATTGATGTGTGTAATGGCTATTTAACAAAATGCTTAACCTGCAGGGAAACCAAGGGAAGAGCAAAAAATGGAAAATCAGGTAAATATTCCTCAGCTTGACCTGACCTAATATTTATGTCTTTACCATTTTAACTTATTTTGAGTTGTTATACTTTTTTTCTACAGTACATTGAGATCCCTTTGGCTGGGCAAGCCGTCCACGATGGGGTTCGATATTCACCAAGAGGAAGCCCCAACCTGCCGCCATCTAGAAGAGCCAGTGAGAGGAAGCTACCAGGGCAACCTGCAGAGCTGACGACATCTAGAGATAATGAGCCGCTTCCCGGTCCAAGGATGAATGAGAGAAACAGGCAGAGGAATGTAACGCAAGAGCAGGAACCCAGCTCTGTTGTATATGCTGCTCTCAACCACGGGCCGCCACAAAGAGAAGCACCCCGGCCACAGATGCAAATAGAGGAGACAGAGTATGCAGCTATACGACTGCCATAATGACTGAATGTCTGTTGGATTAAATCACACTAGAGGACCAAGATTCTTTAGAGGAGTACAGCAGGGATCCATGATTCTGGAAACAGACAATTCAAATCATGGCCCCCATTAAAGTTTGAAAACACTGATCTTTTTCACAATAAAATATGTTAAAGGATTTGCTAAAACACACACAAAAAGGATGATCTGAATCAAAGACTGAAGGTTTGTGGTTTCTACTGCTTTTCTCTTTGGGATGGAAAATGTTCCTGCTGAAACCCCGATAAGTGCCTCAACGTCACTGCAAACTACTGACTAAAAAGCACGTTTCTCATTCTTCAAAGGTGAAACCGAACGGAAACTGAACTGTATTTTTAATGATTGTTAATTCAACAGATGTGTTATTTTCATCAGCCTGCATTTTTTTTCTTCCTGTCTTCTGTATTTGGTGCTAAAATACAAGAACTATGCAGCAATGACTCAATGAGGGGCCGTCAGAGATGAATAAGTAGGTTATCCCACCGCTTTGGTTAGAAAAACAGTGCAAGAGTCCTGAGAAGATGCTTCAAAGAACCACAACTAAGGTGTTCAGCCAGCTAGAACCTAACAATCTAAATTTATTTTTAGCTAGATGGTAGTGAAATAATAAAGAACTAAAAGAGCTAACAGCCTTTTTAAAAGTAACTTCTGAGCTGTCTAAAGATTGTTTTATTTTTTTCCTCCAATGGTTTAATATCTAAAATAAAGTGTGCTAATTTTGTTATAACCATGTAGCAAACATAAAGCTAAAAGATGCTAAACAACAACAAAAATAAAATTCTTAGGCATAGTTCATTACAATTAACTTAACCTTATTGGAAACACTAATGCTACGTTCACAACGAAAGCAGCAGGAGCAGCAAAAACGTGCGTACTGCTTCATTTTTGATGCTTGTACAAGTTTAGTCCTGACGGGCGGCTCAAGCATCTTTGCTGCTCTAGCTGTATTCAAAAAGTGGGTCTAATGCACGTTGGGCTGAGCTACCCTATCCTTTCTTTGCCTGTAACAATGGCAGCTACATATATATTTTTGCTGTAAGTGGGTAAAAGTAGTTTTAATATGTTTTTATGTGAGAAAGTCCACCTGAAAACGTCATCTATGCAGTCAGTTAATCAAGATTACGATCCTGCCTTCAAATATTATTTTGCTGTCAGACCCCTGTACACCAACGGTTCGCTGTCACTAGGAATCCAGTTTAACAGCTGCCTCAGGCCCATTCGCCTCGTTGTGGTGTTCTGCTACTGTTTGCGGCAGCTGGAAGTAGATGTTAGCATTTTCACGCACTTACTCCAAACTACATTCACCAGAATAATATAATTGAACATGTTTTTGCCGCCAGGATTCGACATTGTCAGTTAATTTAGGCTTTGATAAACTGTTTCAGAGGAGTATTCATAGTGATCTGCATCAGCAGTGCTGTGTTTGTCTCCCTGCCATCTCCCAGATCAGCTTCTCTGATTGGTTGATGTGGTGTGTCAAGCAGCAAAAGTTAAATTTTTTCAACTCCAGCAGCTGCTGCTTCTGAAGCGTGTCATGCACTTCAGATGCACTGCGGGACCTTTGCTGGGCCAAGTTGCTCGTCAATCATTGACTGTGCATGTAAACTAGCTGCTGCTGGTGCCTCTGCTGCTTGCAGTATGAACGTAGCATAAGGCTGTGTCCTAATGTCCGCCCTAACCACTATATAGGGCACTGTATAGTGGTTTTAAATAAAATATACAGTAATTTAGATAAAGATGAGGGGTTTAAATGTTCTTTACTAATAGAAAACATGTCAAAAATCAAACAAGTTTTGATTATTTATTAGAGCTGAAGAAAAACAATGCATATGCACCGCATATCATAATTTATAGTAATGTTTGAATAAAGTTAGATTTTTAAGGAATTAAATTTTGTTGAGAAATTCGGACCATTTTATCCAGACAGAACTCTGATTATCCAGCTAATTCAAAACATCTTTTAAGATTCTTCCTCTTAAGGAATCATAGGCTGTGTTGAATATCCGCCCTAATCACTTTATAGGACACTATCTAGTGGTTTCGCCATTTTAGATGAGTGTCCGAATGTCTAGTGGAAGAAAAAGTAGTGGACTCCAAATTTCCCACAATGCACCTTGAAAATCACTAACCATTCATGGTCACTAGATGAGCAGATATATCCCATGATGCTTTGCGAGGAGAGCCCTTCACTATAAAGTCTGCTATATATAGTGATTTAGGGGTTAGGGTGGATGTTCAGACACAGCCTAAGTCCTTCAGTTACATCTAATCTTGCAGGGATATTTGGGAAATAGTTGAAAAACAGCAGCTAGCTTAGAAGTGAAAGAAATGCAGTATTATTATGATTACAATTTGTGGTTATCAGTGATATTATGTTCTCACGCTCTTAGAAATAGGTCAATAGGCAATAATGCACAAATCTGAACTTGAATATTAAATATGGTAGGCCATAAATATATTTTATTATACTTAAATGGTCTAAACCAAAGCTTTTAGCCAATATTCTTTATCTCAAACAAATCAGAAAAACTAGAGTGTAGAAATACATTTTTTTTACATGTGAAAACTGAGCTTTTTATTTTATTATTTTTCTGCAGAACACTTAGGTAAGCCAAAATCAAACAGATGCACACTCATAAAGTACATGAGCAAAAAAAAAAAAGAAAAAAAAAGAAAAAATGATACTAATGTACTTGGATTGGCAAAGGGCTGAGTTGATCTCAAAACATCTAGATGGACACACTTATTGGATTTTTAAAAAACTAATATTGTATGATCCTGGTACAATGTAATATTACCAGCAACCAACCGAATGGTTTCTATTTTTATCATAGTAAACTCCATCTAATGTACCTTTTCCTGCTCTATGACTGCTGCAAAGCACAGATATGCTTTCCAAATGAGTAACTTGGACTTTTACGTGAAATCTCTAACTGTATTTTTTGAGACTAGCAAAACAGTGATTAATATATTTGACAGTAATGAGTGCAAACTAAGCCTGCAAACTATAATGTGTAGCATACACAGCCGAAGCAAACTTATTTGACTGTTTTGCACTTACTTTCATGTAAAGTAGATTTTATTACATGACTTGAAATCACCCAATCCTTTCAGGTATTGTACATTGTATGTATTAGGTGAGTCACTTCCTAACTGAATGAGTGAAAATGATTTCTGATTGTGATTCTTTTGAAAAGTCGAATGTAATCCTAATCACTGTGTGCAATGGAATAATGTAAATGTAAAGCCTTGCATTTAATCACGTGGAGTTCTGAGCATTTTTTCAAAAAATCCTCATCGCATTGATTTCAGATAAAATGCGTGGAGAACAAATCTCTTCTTGATTACATAAAATCTGTAGATTTACCCTAACTTCATAGAAGAAATCTACCAAAAGACCCCCGTAATCAAAAACAGGAAGTAAAGCAGACCACATGTGACATCCTGTAAATTTAGAACGCATTCAGGCTTCACTGACGTGGATCATCTCTTAGGCAGCCAACATGGTATTTTACACCTATAAATTCCTTTTCTATGTGCTGATCCTATCCGTATCTGTTGGCACTCACAATGACAGTAAGTTATTCTTATTATATTTACACATATATACGATTAATTAATTAATTAAATAACTCTATACCTGTTTGACAAAAGTAAAAATCGGGACACAACAATGTATACCTTAAAATACAGTAAAGAAAGATTTTCTTTCATTGCCCATATTGCACTGTTTAGTCTTAACATTTAGTTGTGGGTTATATTGCTGGGTTTAATTGATATTCTGTATTTCTTTTACCTTTTTCTACTGTAATGTGCAAAAAACTTAAAAATTTTTTTTGAAAAATTAATGTGTACAAGAAAATGAGAACCTGTTTTTTCCACTATGTGAAGTAAAAAAAAAACAAAACAAAAAAATCAGAGGTTTCATTTAAAGAATAAAATTTTATCTGGAAATATCTGAATAATGAAATCTTACCAGCTCTAATAAAAGCACTAACCCTTTTAGCATTCTTATATTGTAACTCTTAGCTGTTTGACTAATATTTAAGTGGCACAAATTTGAAACCACAGAGTGCTCTGTGGTTTTCTGCACCATGTTTAACCTTAATTTGGTTAACTCAGCTGCTGTTTCTATAGTGCTTACATCTGTTTCAATACCCCTCCTACTGTAATTATACTGTTATTACTGCGGTAGAAAAACCAGTATGAATAATATTTCCATTTATGACCCTTTACTGCTGCAACAGGTGAGGGCTGAAGAACAGAAATACAAACACAATCAAAAAATTATTTTTGAAATCTGGATTGATTGCTTCATTAACTTCTGCAAACATAGAGAAACACGTGTTTACATCAGCTCTAACAAAAGTATTAAAATAAAGTGGTAAAGATCAATGCATCTAAAAAGAGTATTATACCTAATCTTTCAAAATATTAGCCAAAGTAATTCCTGATCATATCACTGTGGAGGTGTGTGGGTGACGCAGTCATCATCGCTGTCAACAGTGAGTGGTTTTCGCTGCACGTCATCCTCCCAGATGCGATACTTTGTGGAAACTCATGCAGCATTTACAGTCAAGTCTTTTGGAGCATGTCTTTAGCAGCTTTGCACAACTAGAAACTGTAATTTAAGGGACAAAAGTTTATAGTCTCATGCTGGACTGAGAGCGTCAGTAAACATCAATGTTCATATATTCACATTGATTCTTAATTAGATTCAGTGCTGGACTTTGATTGGGTGATTATAACCCATGAAAATGTTTTGTTCTAGACCATTTAATCTATGATATTTAAAGTTGTTTTCCTGCTGCAAAGTAACCTCTACCCTAGTCCCATTTCTTTTTCAACCCGTTTTATAAGAGATGTTACCTACCTATAGCTCCATCTACCTTTAAATTTATCCAAACTGGCTTCTCTGTCCCAGTTGAAGAATACCACCCACAGCATGATACATTGCCCACCATGTTTCCCTGTGGGGATAGCATGCTTAAAGTGAGGTGTAGAGTTAACCTGCCATAACACTCAGCTAAAAATTCAATATAGCTTTCAGACCAAAGTATCTTCTTCACATGTCACGGTATGAAAATTGAATTTTAATGGTTTTCTTTATCATACTTTTTATATAAAAGTAAACCTTTGTGGAAAATATATGTAATGATGTTGCTGGCAGATTTTACAGCCTTAGCTCTGGACCTTCTTTACTTCAGGGAGCCAAACATTTCAGTATTGTTCCTGAGTACATCTTACCACATTTTTGCTCTATCATGTATCGGACTATGAAAAAAATCCTATTAAAACATGCTAAACTTCCTGGTTGTACCATCCTTTCGGGTAGTGGTGGCCTAGTGGTTAGAGCATTGCACTTGGGTTCCGGAAGTTCTGAGTTTAAGTACCACACACTCCCACAGACTGCCACTCTGGGTCCCTGAGCAAGACCCTTAACCCCAGACTGCTCCCCAGACGTGGGGAAAAGTTAATTTCCCCATTCTAGGACACTAAAGTATTAACATTACATTTATATAAAAAAATTGTGGTGAATACTTTTGCAAATGCTGTCAAATCTAAAATAATTTATGCTAAGCAAGATTTTAAATTGCATTTAAAAGCCGCCTTAATGCTAATATAAAGATTTTTATCTTGCAGAGAACTT